TTTTATTGTAATTGTATATATGTTCCTGTTAGCCGCTCAGAGTGGTATAGATTTACCAGATGAGCGGGATATAAATCAAATAAATAAATAAATAAATAAATAAATAAACAACGAAATCACTTCACGACTATGTTTTTGTGATGGCTATTGCAATCGCTAAACGATGTTTCAAAAAACAATGTTTCAAAGGGCAATTTTCGTTTGATGATGATCGGTTCCCTGCTTCGGGAACTGATTCTTCGCATTATAATGATCTAAAAACAGCTGATCATTGGGTTTCAAAATGGCTGCCCACTGTGCAAAATGGCTCCCCGCTGTTTTTAGGACAGATTTTTCGCTTAACAGGGATCGAAAAATGGCCACCCTATGGAGGATCTTTGCTGGACGATAAGGTGTTTCGCCCATTGGAACGCATTGAATGAGTTTTTAATGCGTGTCAAGGGGTTTTTCCCCCGCTTGATGACGATTTCGCTCTACAGCGATTTCGCTGGAATTGATTATCGTCATTAAGCGGGGCACCACTGTATATACACAAATTAAGTACTTTATCAAGTTCTGTCATTTCTTAAGTAACTGCAGAACAGATTGAAAGTTTTTCCACTGAATTATTTAAATATACTTAAAATCAAAGTATCAATAATGAAATAAATCATAATCTTTAGTTCATATCATATAATCAGATTATATAGTTCTCTCATTGATTGCAATATAATTTGATTATATCATATTATTAGATTTTTACCCCGCCCCCCTAGACAAAGTCTACTCGGGGCGGGTTACACAGATGATAAAACATCATAATATAACATTATAATTATATAATAATAAATGAGACAGTTTAAAAATTAACAGATCAAGGCAGGGAAATTAAAGTTTAAAAATTAGCCATACACCTTCATGCACAAGGTTTTATTTAAAAAAAACACACACAAAATGTATATTGAGTTACGGAATGTTTTCTGACCCTAATGTGAATTACAGTGTATTGAGGGATCAAGGTTACAACTGTGAACAGAGTTAAGTGAAATATACCTTTTACCATTCTCAACTAATGCAAGAAATTTTTCTTTCTCCCAGGGGCTAGCTACTAAAAAGCATATCACATCATTTTTGCTTTATTGCAGCATAGTTCACTGAAAAACAGTGTAGAACTCTTTTTTGTTTGTCTACAAAACATACATGACAAGTGGTTACTGTATGTGGAAATTGTTTACATCTTTTGGTGACAATGCAGCAGAATACCTAAATTTTAGGTCAAGGTCTGTGTAGGTTCCGCAATAAAGTATGTTCCTGGGATAATAAAATGTTCTATCCTGGCACATCATGGTTAAGAACAGCAGCTACAGAAGATCTGTGATTGGTATCAAAACACTAGGTAAGTCTTCCTAGGGGATACCTCACAGAAACAGGATGGGGATTCAGGAATGAGAAACCAGCTCCATACCAGATGCACTAGTGATACTCAATTCACTGCTTGTACTCTCCACCAGGGAGCTGGATGTTCTCTTCTTGGAATCTAAAGCAGAAAATAAAAATATTTGGTGAAATATCCTTCAGTTGTTTTCATTTCATTCCTCCAGATCTTTTCATTCTATATTACATGGAAATAATGGGGAGTAGCAGGATTCTTAAACATAAATTGATGCTAAACCAAGACTGCTAGGTTTGAAGGAGTCTCTCCAATTACTCCCCCAAAGCTGGGTTCAGTGTTACAGCATCCATGCAGAGGTTACTGACCATGGAAATTCTCTGTGCCAGGAAACAAGTAGCTCTCTAGGTGTTGTGGGACTACAGCTCACATCAGCCTTGGTCAACATAGCCTATGGTTAAAGGTAAAGGTAAAGGT